ACAGCTGTTACTATATTGAGTGGCAATATGATGTCATATCATAGGTGACTAACCAACCGAGGCTTCCTTGCGAGCCATCATCTAAATATGACAGCCTTCCATCACCCTGACCTTTTCGCAGGAGAAAGCTGAGTGAGGGGCTTGATAGTGCCTCCCAGGGCTCAAGTTCATGGCTGACCTTCTGTGGCCAGCATCTCTGACTGAGCATGTGAGAACACACCCCCACACCCCCACACATAGATTCATTCCCTTCCTAGTAGAAGGTCACTTTCTCCAAGACAGCTTTCTTCCACTGGCCTGATTTTGAAATTAGTAGCCACTGGAATGTTTAAGAATCACAGCTATTAGGGAGGAGGTGAGGGGTATATTTATCCTGGCGTATATCCCAGGTACTTGGTTAGACACTCTACATATAGTTTTTTAATGCAATACTCAGAATGCTCTGAGGACGACGTTAAACGTTCTGTGGAGTTAGAGAAACCAAGATCAGAGGGGTTAAGTAATTTTCCTGAAGTTACAGAGCTGGTCATCGTGGGGCTCAGATCCCAGCCCAAGTGTCTGACTCCACAGTAGACCAAACTCTGCATATAGAAAGAGGTAATCACCTCACCTGGATTTTTATTTTTTACATAAACTTCATTTTGTAAAGCAGCTATAGGCTCACAGAAAACTTGAGCAGAAACTACAGAGATTTCCCATAGAGCCCCTGCCCCCACACACGTACAGCCCCTCCCCACGGTCAACATCCCTCACCAGGGTTGTACATTTGTTATAATTCATAAACCTACACTGACACATCATTACCACCCGAAGTCCATAGTATACAACATGGTTCACTCTTGATTTCGAGAACCTGTGAGTGTGGATGAATGTATAATGACATGGATCCATCATTATAATATCAGGCAGAGTATTCTCACTGCTAAAAACCTCTGTCTTCTGCCTATTCATCCCACTCTCCCCCCCCCCCCCATCCCGGATAACCATGAATCTTTTACTGTCTCCATAGTTTTACCTTTTCCAGAATGTCATATAGTTGGAATCATACAGTATGGAGCCTTTTCTGATCGGTTCGTTCCTGAGGAAGCTGTGGAGCATCCTATTTAGAAGAGGTTTTCTCCTCTTGTCGTGTCCCGGCGGGTTTCATCCAATGTATCCTGGAGGTATGGTTGGGGGATGAAAGCTGACCCCGCTATGTCCTTTCGTAGCTTGAGGGCACATTTCTTTTTAGCATTGAAGAATATTCCATTGTCTCGATGTACTACAGTTTATTTGTTCCTTCACCTACTGAATCACCTGGCTTTGAAATCTTTATTCCAATGTGGTTCACTGGTCTTCCTCTTCTGCACCCCATCCCTGCCTCCTCACTCTTGCTACCTACACAGACCCTTGCAGTGGGCGGGGAGGGGTGAGCCTTTTGCATCCCTGGTCTATGAATCATTTCAGCAAACTGGGAGCCAGCTATTCCTCCAGGACATGCTCTGGGGCTGATCTGAAGAGAGCACTCACATGCATGTGAGAACATCCCGTTTTCCCTCCATACCAATTATACTCATGTTTGACCCCAGTCCCCCAAATGGTCATTGCTAGTATGTCCCACCAGTTACCACATGGGTTTCCCTTTTTTTATTCCATCTGTTCATCCATCTCCCCCAAGAAATATTTATTGAGCACCTACTATCTATGGGTCCTAGATGGCAAATCCACAGAGGACATTGAGTGTATTTACATAAGTTTGCATGCAGAGTTACATCCACCACATTAGAATTCCATTAGGAAATACTATTTGTTGGAGGGGGTTGTACATGGAGATAAAGACAAAAACATAGTGAGTGACTGAAAATAGGTCTGTGAGACCATGTGAGTTAATTATTATCATCAAATTATAAAGCAATTATATTTATTACATAAAAAATTATAACTATTAAATCATTATTACTGTTATTTTTAAAAAACCCTCTTATATAGCACTTTCTGGTTTTTAGGACCTAAGCACTTTTACATAAAGAGCAAACCTATACATTGCCTGACAAGGGTGTACAGGTTGAAATATAAATAAAGAAAGTTTCAAATAAATTCCTGGAGGGCAGATCTATAACGAGTTTTTGAAATGCAGTTAGAAATAACTAGGGTGCATTCCTAACCACTGGGAATGATGTCATGAAGGGTAAATGCCATAATCCATTCCCAGCCATTTTAGTGACTCCATTGCAGGCAGGAGATCCAGTGCGAGAAAGTTCTGGACTGACCCGGCGGGCCATTGCTAAGCAGTTACAATGGAATTGGAGTCACCCAGGACCACTGAGTTTCCAGCATGCTGGGAGAGGGCTGCATGGCATCTCCCCGACCCCTTCCACTCTGTCAAGGAAACAGCTGTGTATAATGCCCCACATCTTTCCCCCAACAAAAGGAACACTTTGCTGTGTGTCATCCAGTGAGTCACCAGCACGGGTGGGAACAGACCCAGGATTCCTGCTCCTTTCTTTCCTGGGGCTATTTGTTGGAGATGATAGTCCTTTCACATTAGTGGCCAGTTACATTTACGGTTCCTAATGACATTTTAATGGGGCTTATGGGATAGGAAAATGATGGGAAGTCAAGGCTGGGAGATAAAACATCAAAACCTGAAATGACACACAAGAACCCGTTTACTGAACGTTTAAAAATGGCAATCCCACTCATCAGGTCCTTCCATTGGGAAAAGGTGCCTAGCTCTGAGGAGGAATAACCCCCCTCACCTGTCTAGAGATTGGATGGGAGAGACAAGGAAAGGAAGGAGGGAATGGCCAAGGGTCCTCAGGAACTGCGTTCTCTGATTCTCCCCTATGATTTCATCTCTATATATACTTCATTTGTTTTCCCTTCCATCACGTATGTGACATGTCAAAGTTTATCATACACGTTTAACACCCATTGTCCCAATGGAGACTTGTAACAGAGGTGTGATCCCTAGAAAGAGCAGTGAGCACAGGTCAGCTGACTGGGACACTCTACCTGAGAGGCCATGCCAGCCCAAGTAGGTCACCTCACCTGGACCTTAGCTCCCTTAGTTATAGAACACGGGTTGAACTGGTTGGCCTGAAGGTACCCTACCGCTCTAAGCGTCCATATCTGTGTGTCCAGCCCCACAGAGGAAGACGCCACTGTCTCCATAAAGCCCTCCCCACCCCCCCCCAGCTAAGGCTGCCCATGGTTTTCTCCATCTCCTCTGGAGGCTGCGGCAGAAGCACACACAAGGTGTTTGCTCACAGGCTCCAGAAAACCTGGCAGGACAGAAAGAGAGCAGTGTGGACTGTGACTCCATCAGTATGGACAGGAGCAGGGGACACACAGAGGAGAGCTTTGTGGTGGCTGGAGACTGGGTGCAAGGGAAGAGGGGTCGGTTTTCAATGTCTGTGAGGGGCGAGCTGCAGGGAGGAAGGTGCTTCTGATAGACCGGGCACATGAACTCTGAGGATGTGGGTGTGAGTAAGGACTCACCAAGGACCAGTAATGACTGTCGGGAGATAAGGGTGACAGCAGCTCGCCCACGTGACTCCAACTCCAGAACACGGGCACCATCAATTTGCTCAAAACTTTGAGAAGCTGCTGTCTCAAATTTGTCTTTGGCACAAACGTTTTGTTCTGGTAGGAAATTTTCTGTTGCTTTATAGGGAGGGGATCATGGGAAGAGAAACAAGGTAGTTCTTCTGCACTTGGGTAGAGAGGGCCACGGGTGTGCCTGGTGAAGACGCTCTGATTGAGCAGGGTGGGCTCTCTAGCTTCAGGAGAGGAATCACAGAGTCAAGGGTAGGGTTAGTAGGGCCGGGACTAGAGTGAGGTGAGTGAGGTGCTTTGGGGGCAACCCGCAAGGGGGCATTTGCTCTCAGAGCCCTGCGAGGGCAGGATGAGCACCTGAGCGTGAGCGCCTCCTCACAGCCTTGGCCTTGGGGCTTGGCCTTCTCTGGGGATCTTCTGGTGTGCTGTGGGTTACTTTTTCAGAGGCATTGGGCTTCATTATAAGGGGAAAAGCAGTTTTAGGGGACTCAACATACAACATAAGATGTATTTCACAGCCCACCTTTATCACCAAAAACATGGAGTCCAACCCACCTGGGAATGGTTTCCAGCTTGCCATGTAGCTGTGAAACATACTTAATCTTGCTGTGCCTCCATTTCCATCCTCATCAATGTCAAATGGGGACAATAATCCCTACCTCCGAGAGGTGGTATGAGGATTGAAGGAGGGGAACAAGAAGGATTATGAAAATACCTGCCACGTGGTAAACCTCAGCACAGCAAACCTCCCCAGGAGGCTGTGATAGTATTGAGTGACCAAGTGTTGCACAAGGTTCCTGTCCTGGAAGCTTCCACGGGCAACATTAGCATCTGAGGAGGGTTTGGAAACCGGTTCACCAATTTCACACCCAGAGTTAAATAACATTTTCCGGGTCACATGACCAATAAAGGTTTGGACACTGTCAAAAACAGTGATAAATGGGCCAAGCTGGCCCAACTGACGGATTACTAAATAAACACTCAAACCACAGCTTTTCTCTACCAGCAGACATGTAAGAATATGAGGAGGGATTATAAGTGAAGGGGTAGGGAGTCGAAGGCCATGGAAAACTCCCTGATCTTTGGGTCAAGATCAGATTCTGGCTAATCAAGGAGGGCTTCCAGGAAGAGGTTCTGGGGCTTCCAGCAGCTTCAATGAGGCTCAGTTGCACTCCTTTTTTCATCACCATCTCAACAGTCAACACTTCTCAGTACAAAGGGATAGAAGATGAGCTCTGACCCCACGGTCGGGTGAGTGGAGACATCTCCCCAGATCTCTTACGATCCGACGACTGGTCCCTTTAAGGCATCGAAACTCAGTGAACGTTCTACAGGGGCCTCGCGGCCTCCGCGAGGCGCGCTGACGTCACCCTTCGGGGAAACGGCTGACGTCAGCGCGTCCTCGGCGGGTGGGGGCGGGGCCGTGACTCACCCGGACCGCGCCCCCCGCCCGCGGCAGTGCGCACGTGAGCGCGCGCCGCGCTGGTTTCTAAGTTTAGCTCGGCGGCTTCGGTGGGGTCGGGCGAGGTAAAAGCGGCTGAGGGGACTAGGTGGGCTGGGGGTCGGCTCTCTCCGTCCCTGCTCGCCCCGCCCGAGGGCCTCCTGGAAGCCAAGGACCCGGCCGGAGGGTGGAGCGCGGGCGCCCCCCGACGCAGCGCCCCGAGGGTCTCCTCCGCGTGCAAGCCTGGCCCCGCGCTCGCCCAGCCTCCGAGGTGGCTCTCAGTAAACGAGCCCCAGTTCCCGCCAGTTCGGCGACTCGGGACTTCCCGGAGAGTCCAGGGTTCTGGAAAGTTCCCTGGTGGAAGGGGTGCGGTGTGGGCTGAGGTCCAAACAGGCGCGGGGCCCGAGGCCGTCGGGGCCCAGTTTTCGGTGGCCACGTGGGGCCATCGCTCAGCGTTTTCGAACTCTGGGGACCCGGGCATGGCCATGCCTGGTGTCACCAGCAGCGCTCGTTGGGGAATCCCCTGGGACGCCCCCTTCTGAATCCGGCGTGGCAGTGGGAGGGGCTGTGCCCTACGTGGGGTGAGGGGCCATGGCCGTTCTAGGGTCAGCCCAGGCATAGGGCCCTGAAGGTCCCCGGATGAGAAGCCACAGCTGATGGCCACAAGACCCCAGGCTCTTCGTCCTGAGGCGGGGGCCGGGGGAATGAGCCCCGGGCGTACTAAGGTGACCTTCAGGAAAGGATTAAATCCTCGTTTTAAAGAAAGAAGCCCCAGACACCTTGTGAAATCGACACTCTCCCGTTCTCCTGGGGGAGGAAAAAGTTGTGGAAAGAAGCTCTGTCAGCGTAAAGTGAACTGCGATTTTGACTTTGCAGAGTGGTCGGCCACGTCACAGTGACCTGCGTTCTGTTGTTGGTGTGGCATCCTCGGGTTTCACAGGGTTTGTCTCCGTGGGCAGCTTGTAAAGCAGTGTTCATGAAGCTTTTGACCTTGTTAGATGAAGAGTGTCAGCTATGACAGAAGCGTTAATCACAAACTGAGAATGTCCTGTGATGAGGGAACATTTTCTAATGGGTGGGCCGTTAAAATTTTATTATTTCAAAGTTTTCGAAGGCCATAACCTTGAGTTTTTCGTATGTTCTTAGAAGTTGTGGAATAAAGGTAACTTTGATGGATGATGATGACCTAAATGAGTGACAGAAACCCCTAAATCCAAACGTGAGAAGTTGGAGATTTTCAGATATAAATAGGGAAAGTGCCAAGTGTTGAGGGTTTTATTCCCGCTTCGGTATCCATCTTAACACAGTCGAAAAAGCAGGGGCCGCGTGGGATCGAACATCCATCCAGAAGTATGCATACTGTTTTATATTGTTCATATAGCAACAGAAGTCTCTTTGTCTTAATCTTGTACGGTTGCTACCACGTTTTCCTCAATGTAATGCCTATTTCGGGAGGGACTTAAGTGGAGCAGGTGTGAACGATGATGAATCACGTTCTCAAACTGAGCTAATTTCCCTTTGTGTAGGCTATTGTTCTCTGTGTATATAATGTATAAGGACCTTAACATAAAAGTTCTCACATTCAGAAATTAAGCTTTTTAGTCCGGAAATTGAGTTTTTACGGGCCACCTGCATCCTGTAGGCAGCCTGTTAGCATTTCTGTAAAGTCTTCCCTGCCGCCAAGTTACACCTCCTTGCTTTGAGCTACTGCATCTGTTACTCCTTTACTGTTCCCTATAGTGTGATTGTTTGCCTAAGTGTTGGTTTCTCCCACTAGGCTAGGCTCTTGGGGGACTACTGGTTTTGTATCTTTGGCATCCAGAACATTTAACGTATTTTGGTGTTTTCATAGTGTTTTGTTTCATTGAATAAATGTGGGATTCCCAAAGTATATTGCACATTTTGGGAAGGGAGAGTTTTTGCATAGTTGAGGGGATTGAGCCACAAACATATGTTGTTGCTGTAGGGAACAGGTTCCTTCTTTTCCAGCCCACTCTAACTCCTCCCCCACTCCCACCATCCATGAGAAAGGAGCCAAAGACAATAAAATAAACCCTAAATTATTTGGGGATCTAAGTGATGGGGTATACCTTTAGATTGGGTGTGGTAGAACTTTGTCCTGCTCTCCAGGCCATCTGTAATCCACACACTAATAGTTAGGCCCTTGTCACAGGGGAGTTGACTAGTCTTTTTAAAAAAAAAAAAAAAATAGGATTTCAGAATCTCTGCTTCTTCTGTGGATAGTTAAGACTGGTTGCTAAATGGAATGTTTACATTGAAATAGATTTATTTCCACACAATGAGACTTCATGCCTACCCTGACAAGATTTAAGGATATAAAATGAACAGATTTGACTTAATTTTCTCTCTTAGAAATTACCACCGTCAAAGAGAGGGGGATTTGTACGATCATACTTTACTAGCCAGAACTCTTAAGGTGGAATTGATGCCATCCTCAATTTTACGGAAGGCTGATTGCAACAAAATAAGTTACTATCAGAGATTTAGTTTTGAAAATATATAGTATGTTACAGTGGTTACTGTAGTTTCTGATATTTTCAGTAATAACCTAGTACCTCTGCAGAATCTTGAATCAGAAGGTCTACATTTTTTTAATGTTTATTTTTGAGAGAGAAAGAGCATAGGTTCACAAGAGCAGGGAGTGGCAGAGAAAGAGGGAGAGACAGAATCTGAAACAGGCTCCAGGCTCCGGAGCTGTCAGCACATAGCCCAACCCGGGTCTCGAACTCACGAAACCACGAGATCATGACCTGGGCTGAAGTTGGCCGCTTAACCCACTGAGCTCCTCAGGCTCCCCAGAAGGTCTACATTTTAATATCCACTATGTTTAATTAAGTCAAGAACGAGTAATGTGTATGTGGAAGATTTTTAACAAGATTTTAATTAGGTTTTAGAAAGTGGTTCAGCTGAGTTTTCTCACGCAAGGAGTTACACAAGTGTGATCAAAGGCTGAAAGTAACTTTCATGAAGACAGAAAGAAGAAGAAAAGACCAAGGGACACTTTGCTATTGGCTACCTTCAGCTTTGACAATTACTACTCCCTTTCACACCACTCTTCTCACTGTTTTTAGGCACTATTTGACCTCAAAATAGAGCTTTCTATAATAATAACAACAGCAACAGAAATAAGAGCTTCCATTTGTTGAGCACTATGTGCTCTGTGCTCAATGCTTTATGGAATTATTTCAGTTAATATTACATATATATGTACATCAGATTTATTATAAAGAATTGGCTCACATGAGTAAAAAGGTTGGCTAAGTCTGAAGGTCTGCAGGGTGATGGCAAGATGGAGACCCAGCAGAGCCAGTGGTATGGTTCCATTTCAAGTCCAAAGGCAGGAAAACGCTGATGTTCCAAGGCCTTCAGGCAGGAAGAATTCCTTCTTACTGGAAAGAGGGTCAGCCTTCTTGTTTTTCTCAGGCCTTCAACTGACTACCTGAGGCCCACCAATATTGTGGAGGGCAACTACTTAGTCTACCAATGTAAATATTAATCTCATCCAAAAACACCCTTGCAGAAGCACCCACAATAATGTTTGACCAAACATCTGAGCACCCATGGTCAACTTAAGTTAAGCCCAGTCAAGTTAATAAAGTTGTTAACCGTCACACAGATCTATTTGATTTCGAAAGCTCATGCTCTTAGTGTTAGTCACAATATCTCCCTCGTCTAAAATTCACAAAGTAGCTTGAACCCTGGGTCTTCCTCTCCTTGTCTGGAAGGAATGTCTGTCGAAGTTCATTCCACTAACCCCTAATGAACACACCTAATTAGGGCAGGTGTTTAAATGCCAGTAACCAATCTCAGAATCCCCTTCCCCAATAGCACATACAACGTAGAAGAAAGCCATTCCAGCTTTCTAATTATATTCCAAGGTTTCTTTTTTTTAACGTTTTTTAAAAAAATTTATTTCTGAGAGACAGCATGAGAAGGAGAGGGTCAGAGAGAGAGGGAGACACAGAATCTGAAACAGTCTCCAGGCTCTCAGCTAGCTGTCAGCACAGAGCCCGAAGCTGGGCTTGAACCCACGAACCGTGAGATCATGACCCGAGCCAAAGTGTGCCGCCCAACTTACTCAGCCACCCAGGCACCCCTATTCTAAGCTTTCTGATTTCCTATTCACATAACTCTTTGAACTGGTTCCTTTCACACAAGCACACGCTGCCTGATTCCTTGTTCAGTCCCCTTCATGTCCTCTTTGAAGGGCACCAAGCCAGTGAGCCCATGACCTGCCCTTCTCTCAACTGCCTCCTTAGGACCAAACTTGCTGTTGCTTACTCTTGACTCACTCCTGCCATCATTGTCATTGTCATTTTAGAGATTTAACTTCTCCCCTCCTCCCCCCAACAGAAACAGCTATCTCTGCAGGGACTTCGCTTGATGGAGTTTCAGTCTTGTGAACCCACATCCCCGAGATTACTTATTGAAAAATACTTCCATCATCTATGTACTTTCAATAAATATTGATTATTCAACTTATTTATTTGATTACAACTTTGGAAAGAATAAGAATTCTTAGAATAATTATTTTTTTACCTGGTTGGCGCTATTCTGTTACATCCTAGGACACCTTATATAGATATCATGCATGTCCTAACACTGCTCCTTCCACGTTTTTTAAATATTTATCTATTTTTGAGAGAGACAGAATACGAGTAGGGGAGAAGCAGAGAGGGAGACACAGAATCTGAAGCAGGCTGCAGGCTCTGAGCTAGCTGTCAGCACAGAGCCCAACGTGGGGCTCGAACCCACAAACCAAGAGATCATGACCTGAGCCGAAGTTGATGCTCAACCAACTGAGCCACGCAGGCGCCCCATAAAATTCCATTCCTTCTGCATTTTTCATGAACAGCCTCAGAGCATCTGTTCTTAGCAAGTTAGTTGTCCGTTAATATCCAGAATGTGGTCACTCCCAGTGAAGTAATGCTTTGAATACTTGAATTTTTACGCGGTTTTTCTTCGTTACATATTATTAGAGAAAAATTAAAGACCTGAACAAAATCTGATTTTGTTGATATTTAAAAGATACGGTTGAGGCTGTCTAGCTTTTAAAACCAAAAATGTTAAGACAGATATTGGGAGAGGACAGTTGTTACAGATACTAAGTTCCCACTGAAGATATTTTTCATTCTTCTAATGAAAGTTAATTTACCAAGCACAACTCACATAAAGGGCATTTTTATTACAGCTACAAATAAAAAGACCCTTGCATTCCATATTAGAAAAAAAAATCAAGTGTGTATTTGGTTGATCAATGACATCTGCCACAATTATATGCATTGAGTCAAAATGCAAAACTTCTTTCTGTTACACATCACCTTTATTCCAGGGTTTCGAGGGCTTGGAATTACATTAGCTCTCTTAATTTAAACTGACGTAGATTGTCTGATAGAATAAAAACAGAGTATTAAAGTAGGGATCCTAAAAATCTAATAAGGTGAGAAGTTTGATGTGTAATTTGGTACTGTTTTTACAAGCTAGATTCCAAAGACAGGCAAATAGACTTTGGTCTCTAAAACAATTATGAGGCTGGGTCTTCTGTAAATGGTTTCTTGGGTGCATTTTCATCTATTGAAACCATAATAAAGAGGAGACATCACTTAATTACCCCATCCTGTGTTCTTAATAGTGTTGTTGTTGTCTTTTTAAACCCAGGTTTATTGAAAACAGTCATGTCTTTGCCTTTTTTTACAAGCTGAGCTACAATTAGTTTTAGGACACAATAGAATCTGTCAAGTAAGAAAGCTAGCTGGTGATTCTTTGTGCTTAACTATTAAATGTAGAATTTCTAGGATATTCTGTAAGCAGCATTAATGGTGATATTCTGGAAGTTTAAATCATTGAAAATTTTAACAGACTTAGATTATTTTGAGATTTTAAAAATATATATTGTCTTAGTGACATTACAGTTATAATAAAGGTTTTGCAATCCAAATCCTTTTAAAAAAAATCCCTTAACCCCTTTTTCTTATATCCTATTTTTAAATGTTGATATTATTATATTGAATTAATATCAAATTGGATTATTAGGGTTATAAATAAGTATAAAAAAATTACTAAATTGGCTTCATGCCTGTAAATAAGATTTGTTTTACACCTAAATTGTAAACTGTATTTTAAATTTTATTTTATTTTTTGCTGGGTAGTTAAGGTTTCATGCTTGTATTTTTTTTTTAAGTTTGCTGAGGTAATTTACATGCAGTAAAATTCATTCTTTAGGTAATAAGTTCTATGAATTCTGACAAACAGCCAGCCATATAAGCATTACCACAATCAAGAGAGAACATTTCTACCATTCCAGAAAGTTCACCTGTGCCCCTTTTAGTTAATCTCTTATCCTGAAAATGAAATTTTAAATAAAATAAATGAAATAAGACTTTTAAAAACATGCCTGATACACTGGCCTTGGGCCATTGTTGTTGTAAACTAGATTATAACTTTAGTGGGAAAACAAATCTAACTTTTTAAATATAGTACTCTAAAATTATTGGATAGAAGTATTAAAATGAAAGATTTATTTAAAAAAATTTTTTAATGTTTATTTATTTTTGAGAGAGAGACAGAGACGAGTGTGAGTGGGGGAAGGACAGGGAGAGAGAGGGAGGCCCAGAATTGAAAGCAGGCTCCAGGCTCTGAGCTGTCAGCACAGAGCGGGATGCAGGGCTTGAACTCCCAAGCTGTGAGTTCATGACCTGACCCAAGGTCAGAGATGCTTAACTGACTGAGCTGCCCAAGCACCCCTAATTTTATTGTTTTATTCCATCTCCATGATGTATGTTTACCTTTATTTGCCCTATGTTCATCTCAAATATTTGGATATAACGAAGTCTTAAAGCATGTTCTTTTGCTAGCTTATATTTCAGTGAATATTAAAAATGGAATACTCTTTCTGTCCTTCTGAAATAAGCAGGTTAAGGGGAAGGACTATGTCACCTTCATTGTTTATTACTGTCTCTTGCATACAGAAGAAGCCTAGTATTGTTAAATGAAAGAAAATTTATGTTGTTTCAAGCTGAGCAGAGAGGGATTGGAGAATGATTTGGATTCTCTCAAGTAAACATTGCAAGTATTGGTAATGCTAGGTTAAAACTTAAAACTTGGTTAAAAACCTAGATTTTAGAGTTGGATCTAAATTTCTTTCATCCTTTATTTAATTGAAGTATAGCTGATATCCAATGTTACATTAGTTTCAGCTCTGCAACTCACTAGTGAGCTAACAATTCCATACACTGTGGTATGCTCACCACCGTAAGTGTGGTTACCATCTGTCACCACATAACATTATTATGATGTTACTGACTATGTTCCCTATGCTGTACTTTTCATCCCCTTGACTTACTTATTTTATAATGAAATGTTTATCTCTTAATCTCCTTCACCTATTTTACCTACTCCCTCCCCAACACCCTCCGCTCTGGCAACCACCAGGTTTTTTCTCTGTATTTAGGAGCCTGTTTCTCAGTTTTGTTTCTTTGTTCACTTTCTTGCTTGTTCATTTGGTTTTTTTTTTAGATTCCATATATAAGTGCAATCATGTGGTATTTGTCTTTCTCTGTCTTATTTCACTTAGCGTAATACCCTCTAGTTCTGTGTTGTTGCAAATGTCAAGATCTCCTTCTTTTTTATACCTGAGTAATATTCCTGTGTGTGTGTGTGTGTGTACACATACGACATCTTCCTTATTCATTCATTTATCAGTAGACATTTAGGTTGCTTCCATAACTTGGCTATTGTAAATAATGCTATAATAAACATAGGGGTGGATATCTTTTCAAATTATTAGTTTCATTTTCTTTGGGTAAATATCAAGTTACTTAATTGTATGGTATTTCTATTTTTAAGTTTTTGAGGAAACTTCATACTGTTTTTCATAGGGGTTGAAACAATTTAAATTCTCACCACTAATGCATGAGGATTCCCTTTTCTCCATATCCTTGCTAACACTTGTTTTTTCTTGTCCTTTTGATATTAGCTGTTCCGACAGGCATAAGGTGATAGCTCATTGTGGTTTTAATTTGCATTTCCCTGATGCTTAGTGATGCAGAGCATCTTTTCATGTGGACCTACATTTGAATACCGACCTTATCATTTATTTTGCTGTAAAACTTCAGGCAAATAAATTTCTATGAGCATCTGTTTTCCTGTCTATAAGATTACAATAAAAATAAATAAATAAAATGCATGTCCTAGCAGAGCAGTTATCAGGAGGATTTCAGATTAAAGCACTTGGCAGTGTGTTGCTCATAGCCCAATTAATTTGAGATGGAATCTTAAAGAAGGTATTTTAAATCACAGAGCACTGCTATCTATGGTGGAGGAGAGAATTAGCTTTTAGAACAAAGATGTAGATGGCTGGATCTGACCTGTGGGCTCAAGGAGAATAATTACTCTCCCAACTTGTGTTTCTGTTAAGTACACATTTTCATTTATTGGATTTTCTCAGAGGAAGGAAAGAGTGGCAACGGTGAGAAGAAAGGAAACAAGATGAGGAAATTGAGAAAGGGAGAGATATTGACCGAGATAATGATGAATGAATGAACAAACCGAGCGTGGCACCAAAAACAGAGTTAGTAATATTATCCCATATAAGCTAGCTTATATGGCATCTGTACTAAAAAAGAGAAAGGAGTAAGGAAGTTATATAAACCACATGGAAAAAGTAACTATCCCCATATTTTGAACAAAAATACAGTGAGAACCCCAAAATTCCCTTTTATAGAGTGTTAATTTGTATGTATTATATGTTAATGTTCAGAAAACAGTGGTTCAGTTGTCTGCTCTGATTTCCTAAAGTTGTTAAATAATTTGATCAATACAATGGTATTAGAGCAGCTACATTATGAACATTATGAAATAGAATACTACTTCTTTTTATCCCCAAAGAGAACAAAAAAAGGCTTTTCTATGCCTAGACAAAGTATCAAGGCTGAGGGTAGAATAAAGACAATTTCAAATAAGATCTCAAAAAAAAACCAAAAACCTTCTCATTTGCCTTTGTCTCAGGAAGCTGAGGGATGCTCTGTTAAAATGAGGGAAGAAACCAAGAGGAAGGCATGAGATGCAGAAACCAACGACTCCAACTGTTGTTGCAAAGGAATACAGGTAACTTTCCGAAATATTCCTAATATGGAAGATCGAAATAATTGAAGGAGTACAGGTGAAAGAAAAATTAGTTAAGAGTTTAGAAGCTAAGAAGTAAGAGGAAGAGAAACATATGCTCTGAACCTGTACAGTTTCAAAAACGGGATGGTCTGTCTGGCCCTTAAGTTTCCTAGCATCCGAAGCAAAATGGAAAACATACTCACTTGCAAGTTGCATAATTCCTTAAGATGAAAACAAAGTGGTTGTTTCCTGAGAGACCTGTTGCAGATCTTATAAAAACGATCCTTTCCTCTTAATTGTATCCACACAAGAGAATATTATGTTTCATGTGACTGTTTCTTAGAGTGTACGTTATGGCCCCGAAGCATTATTAAGTAAAGGCAATTCTGTAAGGACTAGATAGTACTCTCCAAGGTGAACCAAAGGCATATGAATGGTCAGGATATTATTATTTTTAATTATGTTTTATTATTTAAAATTTTTTTTAACGTTTATTTTTGACAGAGAGAGAGAGTGCAAGTACAGGGAAGAGGCAGAGAGAGAGGGAGACACAGAATCCAAAGCAGGCTCCGGGCTCTGAGCTGTCACCACAGAACCTGACATGGGGCTCAAACTCATGAACTGTGAGATCATGCTTGAGCCAAAGTTGGACGCCCAACTGACTGAGCCACCCAGGCACCCCTTTTTATTTTAGAGAGAGAGGGAGGGGCAGAGTGAGGGAGAGAGAGAATCTCAACCAGGCTCCATGCTCAGTATGGAGCCTGATGTGGGACTCTGTCCAATGACCCTGGGATCATGACAACCGAAATCAAGAGTCCGACGCTCAACCAACCGAGCCACCCAGGCACCTCATTGAATATTATTAATTGACACCCCATTAAACTTAATGGGAGGCTAGAAGGAGGTTGACAGTTTAGTCTGTTATCCTAAACAACTTAGCTCTTTCCCTACACTAGCCCTCTTGAAGCAAAACAAGTTCTCTTTCTCTCTTTTTAAAAAATTTTTATTTATTTTTTTAAATTTGCATCCAAGTTAGCATATAGTGCAACAATAATTTCAGGAGTAGATTCCTTAATGCCTCTTACCCATGTAGCCCATCCCGCCTCCCACAACTCCTCCAGTAACCCTCTGTTTGTTTTCCATATTTAAGAGTCTCTTATGTTTTATCTCCCTCCCTATTTTTATATTATTTTTGCTTCCATTCCCTTATGTTTATATGCTTTGTATCTTAAAGTCCACATATGAGTGAAGTCATATGATATTTGTCTTTCTCTGACAATTTCACTTAGCATGATACCCTCTAGTTCCATCCACATAGTTGCAAATGGCAAGATTTCATTCTTTTTGATTGCCGAGTAATACTCCATTGTGTATGTATACCACATCTTCTCCATCCGTTCATCCATGAATGGACATTTGGGCTCTTTCCATACTTTGGCTATTGTTGATAGTGCTGCTGTAAACATTGGGGTGCATGTGTCCCTTCGAAACAGCACACCTGTATCCCTTGGATAAATACCTAGTAGTGCAATTGCTGGGTCATAGGGTAGTTCTATTTTTAATTTTTTTTAAGGAACCTACATACTGTTTTCCAGAGTGTCTGCACCAGTTTGCATTCCCACCAGCAGTACAAAAGAGATTCTCTTTCTCTGCATCCTCTCCAGCATCTGTTGTTGCCTGATTTGATTTTAGCCATTCTGACAGGTGTGAGGTGGTATCTCGTTGTGATTTTGATTTGTATTTCCCTAATGATGAGTGATGTTGAGCATTGTTCCATATATCTGTTGGCCATCTGGATGTCTTCTTTGGAGAAGTGTCTGTTCCTGTCTTTAGCCCATTTCTTCACTGGATTATTTGTGTTTTGGGTCTTGAGTTTGATAAGTTCTTTATAGATTTTAGATACTAACCCTTTATCTGATATGTTGTTTGCAAATATCTTCAACCATTCCATCGGTTGCCTTTTAGTTTTGCTGATTGTTTCCTTCACTGTGCAGAAACTTTTTATTTTGATGAGGTCCCAATAGTTCATTTTTGCTTTTGTTTCCCTTGCCTCTGGAGACATGTTGAGTAAGAAGTTGCTGTGATCTAGGTCAAAGAGGTTCTTCCCTGCTTTCTCCTCCTGGATTTTGATGGCTTCCTGTCTTACATTTAGGTCTTTCATCCATTTTGAGTTTATTTTTGTGGATGGTGTAAGAAAGTGGTCCAGGTTCATTTTTCTGCATGTCGCTGTCCAGTTTTCCCAGCACCACTTGCTGAAGAGACTGTCTTTGTTCCATTGAATATTCTTTCCTACTTTGTCAAAGATGAGTTGGCCATACGTTTGTGGGTCCATTTCTGGGTTCTCTATTCTGTTCCATTGATCTGAGTGTCTGTTCTTGTGCCAGTACCATACAGTCTTGATGATTACAGCTTTGTAATACAGCTTGAAGTCTGAGATTGTCATGCCTTCTGCTCTGTTTTTCTTTCTCAAGATTCTTTTGGATCTTCCGGGTCTTTTCTGATTCCATACAAATTTTAGGATTGTTTGTTCTAGCTCTGTGAAGAATGCTGGTGTTATTTTAATATGGATTGCATTGAATATGTAGATTGCTTTGAGTAGTATTGACATTTTAACAATATTTGTTCTTCCTATACAGGAGCATGGAATATTTTTCCGTTTTTGTGTCTTCTTTAATTTCTTTCATAAGCTTGCTATAGTTTTCATTGTATATATTTTTTTACCTCTTTGGTTAGGTTTATTCCTAGGTATTTTATGGTTTTGGTGCAATTGTAAATGGGATAGATTCCTTGATTTCTCTTTCTGTTGCTTCATTGTTGGTGTATAGGAATGCAACCAATTTCTGTGCATTGATTTTATATCCTGCTACTTTGCTGACTTCCTAGATCAGTTCTAGAAGTTTTTTGGTGGAATCTTTTGGGTTTTCCATATAGAGTATCATGTTGTCTGCTAAGAGTGAAAGTTTGACTTCCTCCTTGCTGATTTGAATGCCTTTTATTTCTTTGTGTACTCTGATTGCTGAGGCTAAGACTTCCAATACCATCTTAAATAACAGTGGTGAGAGTAGACAGCCCTGTCTTATTCCTGACCTTAGGGGGAAAGCTCTCAGTTTTTCCCTTCTTTTTTTTTTTTGTTAATGTTTAAGAGAGAGACAGAGTGTAAGGACAGGAAGAACAGAAGAAGGAGACACAGAATCTGAAGCAGGCTCCAGGCTCTGAGCTGTTAGCACAGAGACCAGCATGGGGCTCAAACCTACAAACTGTGAGATTGTGCCCTGAGCCAAAGTCAGTAACCAACTCAGTAACTGACTGAGCCACCCAGACACTTCGAAACCAAGTTCTCTTAACTGTACTTGTCCTCATTAAAAGGCAGTTTGGTGACTGTGTGGATGCTGGAGAATGTTCCTTTGGGGTCTCGTGCCCTACCCCAAATGGCTCATCAAAGTATGCTTTCCTGTCTTAATTTCTTTTTTTAAGTTTATTTTTATTTATTTTGTAAGAGAGATAATCCCAAAAATGCTCCACACTGTCATCACAGAGCCCGATGCAGGACTAGAACCCACGAACCCTGAGATAATGACCCGAACCAAAATCAAGGGTCAGATGCTTAACCAGCTGAGCCACTCAGAAGCCCCTGTCTTAATTTCTGAGAGAATTTTGATACATGCAGTTTTTCTCTAATGCATTACATTTCCAATAATGTTTAGTACCTTTAGGCTGGATTTTCTGGCTCTTCCATTAATCTAGCTCTGAGTACAGTCTAGAGAGGAAACTTTCTGATTGCCCTGTTCCTTCAACAGGTAACATTCAGGATACTGTCTCCCTCAAGCAGTCTTTCATAAGCACTTATTTCCTATAACCAAGCTTACGTTAATAATTAAGATGGTATTTAGTTAGAAACTATAAGGTTTGGACAACTAACTAGAATTTTTGTTATCTGTCACATATTCCCCTAACCATTAATGAGAATTTACTGTGCCACCTGTACAGTTATCAGTTTTAAAAAATTCAACCCCTTATGCTTTCATCTGATATATTTTCCATGAACAATAATTCTTAATGGAAAGTCAAGTATAATTTTTATAACTCACTGAGTGCCATTTTTTAACCTATAGTTCACTGGTTATTGAATAAGCATAAGAAGTATATTTTTAAAATAGCTTTTAAACTATCCTTTAGAAAAATAAAAATTTTTTTTATTAATCTCTTTTGTGTCCAGCAGGATATGTTTATTACACAAAAATAACTAAATGTCTCTGACATCCTAAAATTTGAAACCTTAAAAGTTGACATCTGTTTGTGAAGTATTATTACCTGCTTTTTTTCCAGGAAGTTTAATAGGATTATATTTCAAAATAATAAACTATGCCCCTGCCACTTGCAGATCAGTTATCACTATGGTAGAATTTCTGTTGTCTCTAAGAGAGTCTAAGGTGCTTGAAATTGAAGACTAGAAAATGCTGTAATAGCTCAGTAGAGTCCATGGTGATATTTTTATTCTGACCTGAAGTAAATTACTATATATTAAATAAAGGTTCAGTGAAATAACATTTTTTCTCCAATTAATATTTATCATTGCTACAAAAACATATGATACCATTTCTTTTATTTTTTTATGACTGTTGTTAATTTTAGGCTCTTTTAAAATTAGAAAAATATTTTCTCAAACTTGATAAACAATGATCTCTGAAATACTGAATGATGTATTTTATAAAGAAAACTATCATAAATTTAGAAATCAGTTTTCTAAGTGAGAAAATATCACAGATGTCGAAGAGGGTTTTTTTTTTTTTTTAAATATTTTTATTTATTTCTAGGAGAGAGAGAGAGACAGCGTGAGCAGGGGAGGGTCAGAGAGAGAGGGAGTCACAGACTCTGAAACAGGATCCAGGCTCTGAGCTAGCTATCAGCATAGAGCCCGACGCGGGGCTCAAACCCGTGAACTGAGAGATCATGACCTGAGTGAAAGTCAGACGCTTAACCGACTAAGCCACCCAAGCGCC